TATTTTATTATTATTATTATTACTACTATTACTACTATTATTATTATTATTATTATTATTATTATTATTATTATTCCCCCCCACATGTTTGTAACTGGGATGGGCCAAACATTTGAACTGCTTCCTAATATAATGCAGTCCACTTCAACACCACTGCAGACTATAACCTCAATAATATTGTAAGGTTGAGTAGTTACATTGGCTTTCATTAGATTTTAAAGGTGTACCTGAAGTGGCAGAGTGAGACAGTCTTGCTAATTAACTAAAACAAAAAATGTATTTAAAATAATACAGTACAAGCATAATCTTAATATTTTGTTTCACTTAATTGAAATACTTATGGTGTTTTTCATTAAACGATACACTCAGGAAAAAACTGCGTAAATTAAAAAAAGCCACCAAAGTGCACAATACATTAATCACCTGCCAAATTTTAAAGGTCCAGTGTGTGTATGGCACTTAAGCGACTCTATTGGCACAAATTGAATAGAATATTGATATGTCTGTTTTCATTATCGCCTGAAACTAAGAATCATTTTTTGATATTTATTTTTTTTATTTTATTTTCTATTTTTTTTAAGAATGTGATGTTTTTAACCAGAGGTAGCGGGCCAAGTTTTTGTAGCAGCCCAGAACAGACAAACCAAACACTGGCTTTAAATAGGGTCTTTTGCAGACTGCTGTAGTTTAGTTAGGGTGAGGTGAGTTGGTTGCAATGTCTTAACAGCAACAGTTTTTGTTTTTTAAAGAAAAACTCCAAACGATGTTGTGGAGGCCCATCCGTCCAACATTGAGACAGCAGCACAGCTGGAAAACATCCAACATTTGCCCTGTCCTTCCCATCCTCCCGGTGTGGAGGCGGTCAGAGAGAGTGTTCACCATGTGGAGGCAGTCATTGAGAGGGCCCACCATGGTGGTGGATGGCTCCTGTCTGGCATCATCTGTATCAACATCCTGATCCTAGGCTGTGCTCTAGTCAGCAGCAGTGCCTTCAACAGCGTGGCCATTACTGCCATGCACAGGCAAATCTTCCTCATCATTCTCCTCCTCCTCACAATGTTGTGGATGCTGTTTTACGCAGCTGTCACCTCTCGAAAGGATCAAGCTATCTTGTTCAAAGATAGCCATGCAGGGCCCGTGTGGCTCCGAGGTGAGACCCCATGACTTTCTGGTTTAGATTAGTCATTTCAAGGCTTAATCAAATAAAAATTTTATATTCCAGCTGGACTTTTGCTGTTTGGGCTTCTTAGTCTCCTCATGGACGTCTTCAAGATTGCCAACTACGTGGGCTACCTTCACTGTGACTCTGCTGTTAAAGTGGCCTTCCCTGTCGTTCAAGCTGTATTTTTGTTTGTCCAGGTTATTGCATTTTAAGAACACCACGCTTGCACGAACATGCAGTCTTACTTGCACTTTGGATGAGTTGAGCTTTTTTGTTTTTTTGTTTTTTTTTTAGACATACTTCCTGTCGGTTCATGCAAAAGACTGCGTGCAGCTACACACTCATTTTACACGGTAAATTGTTTTCTTTGCTCGTTACAAAATCTGTCTTTATTCGTGCAGGACACTCATCCTTTCGCTCTTGCAGGTGTGGCCTCACTCTTACACTTTCAACCAACCTGGTGGTGTGGATGGCAGCTGTGACTGAGGAATCTATTCATCAAATGGAGATTCCTGATTTAAATGTCAATGTCTCTCACAAGATGTACAGAGGTATTTACTTAGGCACAGTTTTCAATTTAAATCAGATTAAGAGGGAGATGACTCAAAACTGTCCTTTCAATTTCAGCCAGCTATGGCAATCCCAAATGTAAATGCAGTCACTCAGCATGTGACACCTTCAAAGAGGCCTTCTACTACCTGTACCCCTTTAACATCGAATACAGCCTCTTTGCGTCGGCTATGGCCTACGTCATGTGGAAAAATGTCGGTCGACATGTGGAGGATCACAGCCACCCCAGCGTGAAGTTCCGTCCAAAGGATGTGTGTATGGGACCCGTAATGGGAATACTCCTGGTGGTGGTGGGACTCGTAACCTTCATCATCTACGAGGTGTACATCCTGAAAGAGGATGAGGAAAAGCGAAATGAAGCCCTGTTGATTCATTTTATCATCAATATAGTGATTGTGAGCCTGATGTCCCTCTCCACCATGATTGGGTGCATTGTCTACAGGCTGGACCACAGGGAGCACGTATCGGAGAAAAACCCCACTCGCAGCCTGGATGTGGGGCTGCTGGTGGGAGCCTCACTGGGGCAGTTCATCATCAGCTATTTCACCATCATGGCTGTGGAGGCGACAGGAGCCAGTGGGTACCTGAATGCCCTCAACCTGTCCTGGGCCGTGCTGACAGTGCTCCAGCTCGGCCTGCAAAACTACTTCATCATCGAAGGCCTCCATCGGGAGCCCTTTCACGTGATGCAGGAAGCATCCCTGCACACAAACGCTCACATCCAAGAGCACACAGAGATGAGCGTTGTTATGGAGATAAATAAGTCCAGCTACTACCTGACTTCAAGTCATAAGTTAAGCTGGAAGAGAAGAATACTGAAGGAAGTTTGTGCCTTTCTTCTGCTCGCAAACATCATTGTAAGTAGTTTTAATGCTTAAGTTCTTTAACTATAATTCCAACAAACCAATGATTACTGTTTTCCTGTTGAAATGTGTCCCGCTTTATTCATTTTGTACCAACAGCTGTGGATCATGCCCGCCTTCGGCGCTCGTCCCCAGTTTGATCACCCCGTCGAGATAAAATTCTACAACTTCACAATGTGGGCTGCCATCGTGAATATTGGACTTCCTTTTGGAATCTTCTACCGTATGCACTCTGTCGCCAGTCTCTTTGAGGTGTACTTAATTTCTTAGTTGGATTCATTCACTGGACTTATTTTTAGCATGTAAAGTAATTTTATGATTTTTATTGAATGTTTAAATTGAACTTGTTAATGTTAATAAATTTTAACTTAAAGACATCTGTGTATTACTTGTATATTTACTTGTATATTTACTTGTACATGGGAGGGCAGGTGCTTAATGTGCTGCATATTACATTAAATTAGACTTGCATGTGTAGTATTTATGACTATTAAAGTTCATTAAGTAGTGTAAGAGTCATACAGTTTGACATTAACTAATTATTTTGAACAGAGTTCAAAATTAAAACTACTTAGTATTTCACAAGACAATAGCAATTATAGAAAACAATTTGTAGGGCATGTTTTGATTGTAATCTTTCACCGTTGGTCAACTCATGACCCTTAGGATTTGTCTTGCATTCCTTTTGGGGTTAAAACGAGACAACTAGATGTATGCAAAGCTGCAATTGGTTGTTCAAAAGAGGGGGGGGGGGGAAATGTATCTATCACAGAAATTTATCTGGGAAAGCATGACCTCATTTTGCATGGTGGCAGTGTAAATGTGTTCCTTTAAAGGTCAAACTTGAGCTGACAGATTGCTGGGAAGGGACACAGTGCCATCTAGTGATCATGGTGTAAAGGGACAGCACTTTAAACAGCATATTGTGGCTAAGCTACGGGGTGGGCAAAGTAAAGACCTTACAATAGCTGTGTAGTTATCTGGATAGTTGTGTTGATTTAACTCCCAAAGAGTAAATGGTGACTCTTTGAACAGTGTTCAGTAATGAGACCAACATAGAATTCACAGATGCATATCAATATATATTTTCAAGATAATTTAAGGAAAATACAATTTTAAACACCAAGCATTATAAGCATAGCCAGCCAGATCATAACTTAAACCTGGCCATATACATAAAAACATACAATCTGTATCATTGTCTCCAGAATCCTGTGGAGTTACATTGTCACATAAACTACAACCATAATAGACAACCCATAAAGAGTGCACTTTAAAGCATGGCAAGTACGACGAATAACGTGAAACATCAATATTGTGCTGTCCAAGATATGTTACAAGCCTCTGTTGGAAAGCACCATATCTTCTATGACAGGTCTGCCTGAAAATAAGATTTCATTTTTCACTTCTATGCTGTCAAGAAAAGAGCTTCAGTCTTCAGGAAATGCTTCTTCATCTCAGCTTTGACAGACATTCTATGGTCTTGAGGTCTAAGAAAATGTACAAACACAGTTGTTTATGGACAATATTGATAATTCAAACATCTCCCCTCTTAATCCGAGGGGTATCTCTACCTCACTCCTCTGAATGACTCTCCTACCCAAGTCATTGTCATAAGCATTATGATGATTATTACGGAGGCAAGTTAAACACAGTGAGGTTTACTGGGAAACCAGCAGATACCGAAGGGAAGGGAACCCTGGAGTTGAACAGTCCCATTTGCAGTCTTCCGTCTACATCCTCTGAATCTCAAAAAGGCGGACATCAGTATCATACCAGATAGGAGGGTCCACATTGCTGGAAAAACAGAGTACGACGTTAGTGTTCAGTCAGTGTGGAAAGTGGACTTTTTGCATAACGCTCAGCTCTTTTGGCTGACTCACCGCAAATAGACGACACCCCACATGTAGGTGCGAAACCACATGGCAGTGCCTGCGTTGGCCTGATACTTTCTGATGAGGATGGGGTGAGGAACTGGCAGCAGGCCCACTAATGTGCCGTGCTGGAGAAACTTCAGGATCTCTGATTCATCTGTCAGACCCCTGCAGTGAAATGTGAGCATGCTTTAAGAAGGCAATATTTCTGAAGAATCTCAGCCAATATATGACTTTTACATGGTGGGAAAAAAGGAACAGAAGTGTTTACATACTTGTCGATGCAGATCTTCTCCACCTGGGGAACGAGCACTTGTAGAAGTCGCATGATAGTCTGCAGGGGTAGTTTACACTTCCAGGAATGGACCTGGAACAAAAAAAAAGGCAAATCCAGATCAGTAATACATTTTGGTAAATATCCAACATGTATCAAAAACTTCTACAGTTACTTACCCAGTCTGGTGTGGGAACCCAAAAAGATGTTGAAGACGCACTTGACAGACGTCTTCTCTCCATTTCTGCTTCAGTGTAGAAAACATCCTGATAATGTGAAGAAATAGATTTACTAACATGCATATGCTTTTAAACAAACACACACACACACACACACACACACACACACGCTCACTCACTCAAACACTTACTTCGTTGTCTCGGCCTGAGTTGGACTCTGTGTCACTGGTCCCAACCACTGCACTTTGGTCTGTGTGGACTGCGTGTGTGGAATCTGTCTTTGGAACTGACACCATGGTGCCATCCTCTGATACCTGGGACTTCTCAGTCAGTTTATCAATCCCTGCAGGAAAGCAGGAGACCATTCAGTACTTAAAGGAAAAGTCTTTTCTTTAAGACCAATACCAAGAATAAACCTGATATATCTCATTCCTCTGTGTCATACAAACTCAATTTTGTCCAACAACTGTTAAAAACAAATCAGTGAGACACACCAATGCACTGGGTGGATGTTTCTTCTTTAACATGAGCCAGTGGGTTTGGGGTCAAGGGCCATAAGGTAATAGGGAAGTCAGAAAGCATTGAGAGATGGACTTATGTCAGTTCTGGTCTTCTATCCATACATTTTTTTTTTTTTACAAACTGGAATTTTGAAAAAATCATTTGAGAGAAACTAACCCATTCATTCACTTCACCTTTGTCAACCCATCCTATATTCCAAAATTATTGAAAAAACAAAATATTCAAATTGTTATCAAGCAGCCAGTCATTACTTAGACAATTTATACACCTTTTTTTATAATTTTACAAAATATGAGTACAGTAAGTTGATCTGTGAGCCAGTTTAACATGCAAACAGTAACATCCACATAGCAGAAAACAGATTCAGTACCTGGAATCGCGACCAGACTGGTCTTCAGTGTACCAGGCTCTGCCGGTACAGCAGGGTGAGAGCCCTCCATGGATACAGTCTCCTGGGAGCTAGTACGGGAAATTACATCTGGAGACTTCCTCTTCCTCTGCAAAGCCTTCTGGATGGAAGCAGGATCAGAGGGCAGGTTGGCCAACTGGTGGAACACGTTACGTTTGCGGATGATGGCGTACACCAGGTTGCAGTTCCCTGGAGTTGAGAGAAAGAGGGATTTATTATGTGAGAAGATGTGTAACAAAGTTCCTTCTAATACCTCGATCTTGACAACAACATTCTGTTACAGATCAGATTTCTCTTACCGTCAAACTGGTACTGGATAATATTGTTGAAAGCCTCGAGAAGGAAGAATACAAGGTGATGATTCTGCACTGCAGAGAACAGAAACCAGCTAGTGGAGAAGGCCTCCAGAAGGTGGAGCAGTTTATTAGCTGCCACCATGGACAGGCTCTTTAAATAGGGAGACACTGCAGAGGAAGAAGAAATGTTAAGAGGATTGATTGTGTGATTAAATATAGAAAACCAGGCATTTTTATTTGATTAAGTGGCATACTGAGATGTTATAACTTTGAAATAGTTGATGTTGCAAATAAAATCTGTGCATTGCCAGACAGATGGCGCCAAAGTAACTCACCATTTACAACAATAGTGAGAAGGCAGTCAAACAGAGGCTGGAGACGCTGGTGGCCCGTGGTGATAATCTTGTGAAACACCTGCAAAACAAACATAGTGACAGCAGTGAGCATTAACTGTATGACAATAAAGATAAAGAACATTACCATTTCAGATGATGTAATGTAGTAGACATCTCACCACTATAAGCAGGTCAGCGTGAGTCCCTGTGAACACTGGGATGTCCATAGGCACATGGACGGAGTAGGGCTTATTCAAGCGCACACCAAAGTTTCTCTCACCGCTCAGCAGCAGCAAAATGAACACGCCAATGTGCATGAGTCCAACACGGGCTGCAACCAAGGATAAAGCACGTCAGAAGTTAGTAAATGTATTTGCCTAGTGGGGGCTTGCTGTGTGCAAGAACAACACTGGGATGAGACTCACACTGATCAGCCCTGGCATCATTCAAGTAGTAGAGTATAGGAACCAAAATATCCAGCACATCACTACTCTTCAGGACAAAAAACAGGAACTTCTGTCGTAGGAACACAAACGTAATTTTGTTGAATAAAAGCACAGACTCTTAAAGCTACGTCTTCCCAAAGACACTCTTCATTTTGTTTCTTTATCCCAACCTTATTGAAGTCACAAAGCTTCCAGAAAAGCACCAACAGCTCTTGATGGAACTGGATCTTCTTGGTAGAGTTAGGCAGGTAAGTCTGAGTCAAAGGGTTGGTCAGCAGACGAGCGAGGCCCTTCAATACGAAGTCAAAGTCCTGCCAATGGAGAGATGGAAGGTTGAGCTTTGGGCATCTTTGGGAAGATCGTTGTGTATTTTATACGAATAATAATCAGCATACCTCCTCTCTGTGAATCCTCGACAAATAATTCACAAACAGGTTTTCAGGGCCTGTAGACTGCAGAGAGATAAAGATTTGTTTGAATGACAACACATGCCATATAGTCATGGGATTTATTTCTTTGCGGTGGTCTTGGTGACGTACCTCTTGTTCCTCCATGCTGGACGGGGAGACGGGGCGGTGGAAAACCCCTCCGTCGTGCTCCAGCGTCACGATGAGGATCTGAACAGCCTGCTCCACCAGCTGCTCCCGGTAGTCAGAGAAGAGCAGGTGGTTGTACGGGATGCCGTAGCCCACTGGATCATAGGCACACACCACATTCAGCAGGGAGGTGAACAGAGGAAGAGCGTGTCTAGGGACAAAGACATGAATCATGTTAGTGAATCATGTGCAACTGTATGCAGAGTTTACCCTCTGTAGCTCTAGCTGTCATTATTGAATGAAAAATGCAATATACCGTAGTTTGTAATGAACTATCCTTTTCTCGTCGATTACAGAAATTATGAAGTGATGTCCACCAGAGAAATAAATGCATTTGTGCATAATATCTGTGTTAATATCAAATAATATGGCAGCACAAATACAGGAGATATTCTTGACTTTGGAGACAGTAGTTAGACAAAAAACTTCACTCATGGTCCACTTAC